CCCCCCGAGCCCCCCAACCTGCGAGATGAAGGGGCTGATCTGGTTCTTGATCTGCATCAGGCGGCCCAGCCCGCGCTCCACGATGGTGGGGAAGTTGAGGAGCCGCAGCGTGTGCCCGGTGGGCGCCGTGTCGAACACCACCACCGAGAAATTCATCCCCTTCACCAACCTGGGGTGAGAAATTCATCCCTTTCACCAGCCTGGGGTGAGAAATTCATCCCCTTCACCAACCTGGGGTGAGAAATTCATCCCCTTCACCAGCCTGGGGTGAGAAATTCATCCCCTTCACCAGCCTGGGGTGAGAGGGGTGAGAAATTCATCCCCTTCACCAGCCTGGGGTGAGAAATTCAACCCCTTCACCAACCTGGGGTGAGAAATTCATCCCCTTCCCCAGCCTGGGGTGGTGAGAGGTGAGAAATTCATCCCCTTCCCCAGCCTGGGGTGAGAAATTCATCCCCTTCACCAACCTGGGGTGAGAAATTCATCCCCTTCACCAACCTGGGGTGAGAAATTCATCCCCTTCCCCAGCCTGGGGTGGTGAGAGGTGAGAAATTCATCCCTTTCACCAGCCTGGGGTGATGAGGGGTTAAAAATACAGAGATTGTTGGCTTTTTGCAAATATTAAAATATATTGCATTGCATTGCATTGCATTGCATTGCGTTATATTATATTATATTGTATTGTATTGTATTGCATTATATTACATTACATTACATTATATTATATTATATTATACATTGTATTATACCATATTATATTATACTATATTAAATTATATTATGTTACATTATAATTATATTATACCATATTATGTATTATGTCATATTATATTATATTGTGTTATATTACATTACATTATCTTATAATGATATTATACTATGTTATATTATTTGTTATATTGTACAATACTATATTTTAAATATTATACTACATCATATTATACTATATTACACTATATTATGCTATATATATTATACTATATGTATTATACTATATTATGGTATAGTATGTTATATTATACTATAATAATATAACACTATAGTATGCAATACTATATTACATTATATTATATTATATTAATTATATTACATTGTATTATATTATAATGCATTACATTGCATTATATCACATTTTATATTATATTATATTATATTATATTATATTATATTATATTATATTATATTATATTATATTATATTATATTATATTATATTGTATTATATTGTATTGTATTGTATTATATTATATTATGTTATGTTATGTTATGTTATATTATGTTATATTATATTATATTATTTTATATTATATTATATATTGTATTATACCATATTATATTATGTTATAATTATGTTATATCATATTATGTATTGTGTCATACTGTATTATATTACATTGTATTATATTATATTATAGTTATATTATATTACATTTTATTACATATTTTATTATATAGTACTATATTTTACACATTATATTACATTATATTATATTATGCTATATTATAATATATGTAGTATATATTATATATATATTATAGTATAGTGTATTACATAATACTATAAAAATATAGCATTATAGTACACAATACTATATCACATTATATTACATTATATTAATTATATTACATTGCATTACATTACATTATATTATATTATAATATATTGCATTACATCACATTATATTATACTATATTATATTACATTACATTAATGTTTTATTATATTATCATATATTTTATTTTATTTTATTATATTACATTATATTATACTACATTACATTATATTATATTATATTATATTATATTATATTATATTATATTATACTACATTACATTATATTATATTATTATTATATTATATTATATTATATTGTATTATATTATACTGGATTATATTACATTATATTATATATTATATATTATATTACATTACATTACATTACATTATATTATATTATATTATATTATATTATATTACATTATATACACCTGGCCCTACCTGTAGACTTTATCTCCTAACTAAATATCTTTTAAAACTATTAAAAAATTTTAAATACCTTTCATCTATTAAAGTATCTCCTAATTAGACTTTCAAATTCTATAAATTAACTCTGAGATTCTATAAAAAACCTTTTAAATCCCATAAGTTAACTTTTAAAATTTTATAAAAAACCCTTTAAAATTCTATAAAAAAACCTTAAAATTCTATAAAAAAAACTTCTAAAATTCTATAAAAAAAACTTTAAAATTCTATAAAAAAAACCTTTAAAATTCTATAAAAAAACCTTTAAAATTCTATAAAAAAAACTTTAAAATTCTATAAAAAACACTCTAAAATCCTATAAAAAAACCTTTAAAATTCTATAAAAAAACTATAAAATTCTATAAAAAAACCCCTTTAAAATTCTATAAAAATTCCGTGAACCTCCTTTTTCACTGGGGGACCCTCCAGGGGTCACCAGAACCCCCTGGACCCCTCCCCAAAATCCCGGGACCCCCAAAAGCGCTCCCACCTCATGACCTCGGCGTAGCTCATGGCCTCGTCGATGCCGGGGAAGGCGCTCATGGCCTCCTGCATCATCTTCTTGCCCATGCTCAGCACGTTGTCCTCCTCGAAAAACTCATCGGGGAGCTCCGCCACGCCCAGGCTGGGGTCGATCTCCTGCGGGGAACGGAGGGGAGGGGGCTCAGCTCGGCTCTGGGACCCCCGGGACCCCCGTTCCCTGCTGGGGAGGGGGCTCAGCTCGGCCCTGGGACCCCTGGGACCCCCGTTCCCTGCTGGGGAGGGGGCTCAGCTCGGCCCTGGGAGCTCCCCGGAATCCCCGCTTTCCCGCTGGGGAGG